ACACACACACACACACACACACACACACACACACACACACACACACACAGTCTCCAGATATGGAGCCATTACTCTCCTTTATGCGTGAGAAACACTCTTGTAATGGCCATATTCTGCCTTTAACTTCACTCTGCATTAATCAAAGGAGAGTAGTGCGCAGACATAGGACGAGGGGAGAGGCACCAAATGGGGCAGGAGATGGCCGGAAAATCACAGTAGGAGCAGAGACATGTTGCAACTACAAAGAGATGGCTCCATTTGATGAAAAAGTGAGCTCTAATCTATAATCATTCGTTGCCACTGGGGTCATCGTTCATCATCCGAACCCTGCTGCGAGTACGAGCACAGGGGGACCTCTACGCATCACTTGGAGAACTTTTGGATTCAACTGCACGTCCAGTGGAAGAAAGACTTTCAGTGTGAGCACTATCCTAACTTGTGCAAAAGAATTTATGTTTCTGCTTTGTTTACATGAGGGGGAATCATTCAACATTATGCAGCATAGGATTGATGGTCTTGTTGTCCAAAGAATTATACTAACCTACAATTTGTGTCAGACAACATGAATCTACAGAGCTCTCAAACCATTCACCTGCACCGTCATCTACATATTAGAGGGGCAATGAATGAGTATGTAGCACTAGGTATCATTGAAATTGTTCTTTCAGTGATTGCAAGGACCCATGAATCATTGCACCCTCTCAATTCAGGCAACCAGACAAGGTATTGCTGGTATAAAGAGTGGAAATAGTCCTGAACATTGTTAATATACAAAATAGCCACTACATTAAATTTTCCGCCTCTTATCTGGATAGTCCAGACAAGAGATGCACGGACACTGACCCAAACAGCTGGAGCGGGTATCAGTGTAATGGGCCGCTCTGGTATTGGATTGCTAAAAAATGATCCCAGGCAAAGAGCTTATTAATTAAACACTGGTATCAGACTGGTACTCTGTATTGGCCGATACCCAAAGCCCAGGAATCAGGACTGAAAGAGCTGACTCGGTGCATCCCCAGCCAAGACATCCCTCTCCCCAGCAATGTCTTCCAGCTCTTCCTCTGGGATCCCAAGGCTTACCCAAACCAGATGATACATATAATCCCTCCAGCGCACCCTTATCGCATGTGCGGACCACCTCAACTCGCTCCTTTCAATGCAAAGGGAGAAGCGGATCTATTCCAAGGTCCTTACCCGGCCTTAGGGTTGAGCCCAGCCGAACTAGGGAGGAAACTAATTTTGGCCGCTCGGTCACTGCCCAAAGCTCATGACCATAGGTGGGGTCGGAAAGTAGATTGATCGCTTTGAGTTCAACGGTCTGGTCCAACGTGTACATTACTGCTAACGCACAAACCTATCTGTCGACCTCATGCTCCATTTTACTCTCACACATGGAGAAGACATCAATACAGTACTTTAACTCCTTGACTTGAGGCAGGGACTCGTGGACACCCGGAGGTGTGGTATAAATGAATCAACATTAAATAACTGCAGTTCTATCAAAGAAGGGAATACAGGGGGGATAAGTGGTGAACAGACAAGTCCGAGTGTGGTTGTTCTTACCCGGATGTTGTCGAAGGATGCTTTGTTGGTGACGTCATAGAGGAGGAGGAGAGCTGAGGAAAGAGAGAAGTAAAAACATTAGCAATGTTCCTGTACCTGACTGTTCCAACCACAATCAGTGATCTGATTTAGAGAGTCATTAGCAACCGATAATAGAATGCACATGTGCAACATGCTGGCGATTATCAATCCATACTTTACATATTCCCGAATAGCCACAGTGACTAATTTAACAAACACTGATCATAACCAGTGTCAGTGCCACGCTGCTGTGGGAATATCATAAAGCTTGACGAAGAGTGAGAAGAGCGCGAGGACCTGAGAATGAAATGGAAAACATGCAAGTGAACATGGCTCAAGGTTGTGATGAATCATGGCATCACACAACATAACAAGAGAAGTCTTCCTGTATTCTCATTCCAATTATCTTTCACAGCATCATTTGCTTTTCATCCTTAGCCTGTTAAATAACATGCTCTGTAATTCTGCCAGAGTTTGTCACAAGCAGCAAACCTGTGAAGCCATTTATTTTCAGTCTCCTTGTAGTTATATGAAAAGCTTTTCATCCAGCAACAGAGTTACTGTATCTATTAGCAATGACAAACAAACATTTGCATTGATTGCTGATGTTATTTCACGCCTACAGTATCAACGTCGCCTACACAGTAAAGACAGCAGCATGCCAAAACAATAATCAACAAAATGAAAGAAGCCTCTTCAGGACGGTTTTCTGTAACATGCTGTTTTTATGAGATTTTGCTTACAAATAGTAATGTTAGTTACTTATGGTAAATACTGCAGTACTGGGAGTGTGATTTCAAGCCCTTTCCCATTTGCCATTATGGTCTACAATGCAAGAAAGGAAGGTCAGTACCCCCATAAAAGCAAAAGACACTCGGAGCTAAGATCTCAAAATTTGCATTCGCAAGAAATCTTCAAAATTAAAAGATGTAAGATTTAGTTAGGCCATAGGCGACTGTCCGCACCAGAAAAACATCAGGATCGGTCATTGGTTCAAAGACATATTTTGGATTGCGTCATATAACTTAGTCACAATGGACAGTTTTTTTAAAGAAAAATTTGATGAAAAGCTGGTGTGCTATGCTAAAAGTGGGAAATGTAGCCTCAAGAGCAGAGATGAAGACCTACTGAGGTCTGGTAAGACATCTAAATGCATCCTGTCTCCTGCCAAACGTCAGCATTGGCTTCTTTGATCCATTACCATGACCTTTCCCTACCTGTGAGTAGCTACAGAAACTCAATGGGCATTGTTGCGAGATTGTTTTGTCAACTGTTGTTTCAAAGGTCAAGAATGGACTTTCACTCTTGAAGTCCTTCAAGTGCTCAGAGGACAGGAAATTAGAGTTTCTACAATTCCATGACAAATGGACAAATATGTGGTGATCCGATAGAAAGCTCTGGAACAACTACTGCATGGATCTCGTGTTAAGACTGTTGAGGTAGTTTCGGTTGCTTAAATCTGACCAAACCTTAACACTGAGGTGACAGATCAGAAATCTGTTGATGAATCTTTGCTGTAATGTTCATTTCATTAAGGTTTTGGAAGGCACAAACGTTTTTGTGATTTATATATGTGGACTTGTCTTTTGGTGCATATTCAGATCTTGGTGCAGCCCCAAGATTTATTTACATTGTAAGACACATGTATCCTATCTTTGTCGAGCACTGTGGGTATTTTAATGCCGATTTAGAGCTGGTGGAGCGTTGGGGAATGTATGCCCTGTTCGGATTATTTCATGCCATTATTTCATACCATAAAACAGTTTTTGCTCAGAACTGCGCCACTCTTTAGTCGCAAATTTGCAACAAATGATGTAAATGTGTTAAATAAATCAAAAGCACGACATGTCCTTTTGTTTGACCTTTGAAAGAAAAACTGCTAGCTGAGCAAAGTGCTGAGCACTACCATTGAACACAGCATTAGTATCACACATTAACCACCCATGTGAATTCTAATTACCTCCAAGTGTATCACGCTGCCATGCAGAATAATATCACCTCAGGTGTTTTTCAGCACAAGCTGGAGGGCGTGCGTCATAAAGCTCTGTCAGACAGAAAAACTCATTACACCTACCAGGGCAATTGTAACTCATCTTCTCAGCTGGATCAACTTTCACTCGGGATGATTAGCCCTAAGCTAATTACATCCACGGCACCATCTTCTCCTTTACTGACATCACTCCCCGTCCTCATTCCAACACAGTTTTCTAACCCCTACGTCTACTTCCTCTTCCCTCTCGGTCCTCTCCACCCCTCAACCGTGGCCGCATTTTCACCAATCTATTTTGGATTAAGCCCTCCATTTGTTTGTTTCTTCCAGCCAGACAAGTCCGTGAAGGGTGTTTAATGAGTTGTTATCACAGTGAGCGTGGCCCGGCTGTGTCAAACTGAGAAAACACATTGAGTAAAGAAAAAGAGACAGAGGGAGGGAGAGAGGGAGGGAGAGAGAGAGAGAGAGAGATGACCTGCCCCATGAGTTAATTTCCTCTCGCGTGGTTCTTGTGTTTATCACTCACCAGAAAATCTGAGTAAACCACAAAGAGTTGTTGTCTTTCACCCTCCCCTAATCCAATTACGTCGCACAAGCTAGACAATGCTAGGGAACTTTTCCACAGCAGTGGAGACGCAGAGGGTTTCGTCATTGCAGGCAGTTGCATTGTGGTTGCAAATCAGAACGTACGGGACAGACAGACAGTACTTTGAAAGACGGAAGAAGTCAAGCCCAAGGGCAGAGGGAGAGACAGAAGAATATAGAAGGCGGTGATGGTGAGAGAAGGACTGCAGGTAATGCAGACAGGCAGAGACAAGAAGGTGAGTAACATTAACCGTGCAAAGGGAGATAGACATATTGATGGATCGGCCTTTTAACCTCACCGGGAAACGGAGAGACGAGACCATCATGACAAAAGAATATGCTAATGAAAGAGGCTGACGGAGAATATAAAGTGCATTCCTCTAGAATTTAGTAATAATGGCTGTTTTAATAAATATATATATATAGATATATAAAAAACTTTTTTTCTTATGATCAAAAGCAGCACTGCAACAAACGAGATGCGTTTTCCTGAAACGCAACCAATTGTGCTACTAGTGGCTGTTCTGCGATAAGCAAAGGCGGCAGATCCAAACCACTTAAGGCCAGGTTGTTTGGTAGGTGACAGTGGAGAAACCAGCGTAAAGTAGATTATAAAAAAATATCACACCCAAAACCCAGCTCAGTGTTGCCAACTCTTTTCCAATGAAAGTAGCTGGCAGCACTAGCTCAAAAAGTCGCTAAATCGAGTGAGAAAGTAGGAAACACCCATCACTTTCGGCCTCCCTCCAAAGCCACACCCCCAATATTATCATTAAAAACGTAAACATATCAATGTGAACATAAACAACAAACATGACTATTGTTAGTACTCACAGATGTCAAGCTAGCCTCTTGTGGTGATGTGCAATGACTGCACAGGCAGAATAAGCGCAGGCAGTCAGTCCAATCAGGCATCCAATCATGTCATTCGGCCCAAACGATTGGCCGTTGTGTTTACATGCGTGTTTTGTTTACCTAGAATTTTTTTATATTTCTTTCACATTCAAATGTCTCAAGAATTAAAAGTGTATTGCTCTTTGAAAGGTTGTACTTGTATTATTCTATTCTATTATTTATTATATTAGATGCAACAAATGGTATTAAAATGACAGTAACATTGTTTATTCCAATTAATAAAAGTAGTTGTCATGGCCAGTGAAAATATTGTATTTATATTTTTGTTTGATATTGTGTTTTATGCTCCATGTTCCTGGAAACGGAACAACAAAACTTTCAACCCACATGTAACCCTCCAGCACACCAACACTACACACATTGACGCCTACAGGATTTGACTTTGTGAGCCACGACTCCCTTGACGATCAAAGCACCTGCAGGAAGCTCTGAGCAGGAAAGGTTGCAGTTTGATGGAGTGAAGTGATCCATAAAGAGCACTGCCATCCATCATCTTTAAGATGATAATCTGACTTTGGGTTTTACTGACTCTAAAATCATGTGGTCCAGAAGTACTTAACCACAACACGCAGCACAGTATCAGCCAGTTTCTACCTTTATATGACGGGCTGACAGCATAGAGAGAGGGAGTGATGGCATCCTAAACCAAAGGAGTATTACAGGCAAAAACAATATCACAGATTAACAAGAAATCACACAAAATGTGGAATATAGTAATATAGTTATTTCCATTTCGCTGCTTTAAATTTCTATTTCGCTAAATCTCCAGGGTGAAAAAGCTCTTTCCAATAGCTACATTCATTGGGAAATATGGATGGTTGGATGAAAGGAGTGATATCACTTTCATGTCTGTCCGCTACATATGAAGCTAAAGCCAAGTGATGGTTATCTTAGCTTAATAGCATAAAGACTGAGAGCAGGGGGCAAGAGATTAAAAAAGGTTAAATAATTAAATAATTGACCTATCAGAGCTTTTGAAGCTCCCTAATTTATATGCCCTGTGTTGTTTGTTTAAAACAAATAAAAACCGAAGTATAAAAAGGACATTATGGAGGCTTATTAGAGACACTATTTCTTGGACGGGCGCAGTGGCTTCCTGGAGTCTTGTCATTACCTTGAGGTTGTCAGGTAAGCAGCACTGGAGACTCAAAGAGAACTTTTCACAGTTAACACTGACTTCGGGAAATTATTTTTCGGGGATGGTGGTGAAGAAAGTCTGGAGGCTTGACGTCAAATATAGTTCTTAAAATCAAAATCGGAGGGTCAAAATTGCAATCGCTGCATCTCCTATGCCAGCATGAAACTCCCTGTAAAAAAAGACAAAGCGTGCAGTTTTTACAGAGGCATTTTTGAAAACAGAGCCAGGGTAGCTGTTTCACGCTGCTTCTATTATTTGTGCCACTCGATGCTAATAACCGGCTGGCACCTTCATATTTAGCATGCAGTGGTAGCTTTCATAAAGAAAGCAAATAAGTATATTTCCCAAAATGTCTATGGCTAACTAATCCTTTAAGTACTTTTAGCTGACAATACTTATGTACT